AAACAGCTTCAGAAACATAAAATTTAAATTGGTTTAATTTTGAAGTGTAATCCAATGAGACTGAAAACTAAACATTTTAGGTCTTGTACCAAGTAGTAAAATACTCGAAGGCCTTCAGGATCCTTTGACTGATTTACATCAATGAGAGAACCTATTTTTGATGTGGTAAAAGAAATGTGCTCATCTCCAATAACAATTTCCAGCTCCTGTCGACCAACCCTGTCAGGGGGAGGCCACAAAGCATCATCTTCTTTTGTAATTTCACTGTCATCAATAATTCTCTTCGATTCTTCCATTACACTCTTGTGTACGTAGGCCTCTTTTCTGATCATGACATCATTTTTGTAATTACTGTTGTTGGCATATCTAAGCTTTCTGTCCGGCCGAAACTCGAACTCTAGAAACTCGTGTCCAAACTTGCCCTTGTGCCCTACATAGTAGCGCAGGTAGAAATCGCTAGCCATAGACATTTTTGTCTCAGGAAGCCCGCCGAAATCCCGGCCAACTGCTCCATTTCTAAGCTCACCTATATAGACAAACTCTCAGAAGGAACCAGCTGCACAGGCTCTGCTTTCTCACCCTCCAGTTACTGCTCTGCGCTCTACAGCTGAACTTCTTTTTCCTTAGTACATTAAATGTTTTTTGTTCTTATCCCTAGAAGCTCTACTTTGGTCAAAGTCAGTAATCATTTTCTGTTCTCATTTGACTTCTCCACAGCATTAATCACAGCTTAGTGTTTTATTCTTCTGGAAACTTTCTCCTCTCTTCGCTTCAAGAACATGGATCTTATCTCGGGTTTTTCTAATAAACTTTCCAATAACCTTCCTGACAGCTGCATAGGAGCCTCCACAGCTTTGTACTGGACCCCTTGGAATTTTCTCCCCACATACTCTTCCTACGTCTGCTAATGACTCCTACATTTCCCACTGGATCTCTTGTCATTTTAATGACAACTTTCTTGTGTAGACAAATCTCACAAGTAACATGTCCCTAGTTTACATGGCACTCTTTCCTTACCCACGGAAAGGTGAACGCATGTCTTATCTCAGTAAATGATGCCATCACTTACACAGCTTCCCAGGCAAAAACCTCTGGAGGGCTTTCTTTATTATCTCTCTCCTCTATCCACCTCCATCAACAATACCGGGAAGTGCTGTTAATGCCACCATCACAGTCAATCTACTATTCATCTCCTTGTCTTGCTCTTCAGGGCTGCTATGATATTTTAGGCTGCATCTTGGCTGACTTATTACTAGTTTCCTCCTTTCTACTCTTGTTCTCCACACTTTCTTTATCTTTTTGCAGGTGTTGGCCGGGGCTGGGTTTGAACCCGCCACCTCTGGCATATGGGACTGACACCCTACTCTTTGAGCCACAGGCGCTGCCCCTCCACACTTTCAAATGCTAATAATCTTTAAAACATAAAGGGGTCCCGGTCATCTTTTTTGTTTGTTTGTTTTAAAGCCATAAATCAGACCTTGTCATACATAGCTCACAAATCTCTTCCATGGACTTACATATCTAAGTCCCACACACGCCCTGAAAACCCTGGCCGCAGGTACATTTTCAACCTAAATCTGATTTTCTGGTCTCTTTTTAACCTTGAAATACACCAAGTCCTTTTCCACCCCCAGCCCAAGCCATTCGCGTTGCCTGGAAGTCATGATTTGGATTTATTACACAGTTGTCTCTTTTTAAGCTCTGTCTCTTCTTAAACAGTGTGTATTTCTCTCCCCAGCTATTCAGAACCCCCCAGCTATTTGCATCTACCACTGAACTCTTTGTTATTTCTTCACACAATACACGTGTCATTCTAAAATTATTTGTTGACATGCTAATGTTCTATCTTCCTCATTATACAGTAAATTCCTTGAAGTCAGGAATTATGTCTTTTCTCAGAATGAAGCATGTACTAAAATTTGTTTACTGTGTGTATGAATAAATGATAGGCTATTATGGGTTTGAAATAACTATATAAACAACCAGCTTCATTGTTCAGTGTCTAGAGTCAGAGATATTATATGCTTTTTTGTATTTTTTTAAGGAATCTAGCTGTGTTATACATATTGTAACTAAATCTTTATTGATTGTTCTAAATTCACATGCATATGTAGAGTCAATAACCCACATTCTTGTATATCACTTTTCTCATTTATTTCTCTTTATCAAATATTTTCTGCTATGGAGTCAGCATTCATATTCAGTGACTGGGTTGAAATGAACAATGTATCACTAATAAATATGACAAGCTGATTAATTTAATTAACCTTCTTCATTGTCAATTTAGAAGCAAAATGTAAATTCTGATTTCATTGACTTTTTATATAAAAAATAAACTAGTAGCATTTCCTACAAGCAAAATAAAGAAACCCACATGGTTTCTATTTTTATATTGCCTTTCATCGTGATTTTAAACCACCCACAACAATTCAGTCAAACAATCTGTGTGCTTTTTCCTCTGGGGAACTTGCTAAATTTGCAATTGAGATAAGCAATCAATGCTCACCTCTGCTAAACTGTACATTAATATTATTTCAAAAGGAAATTCCTTAGAGGAACTCCTTTATGGAATGTAACTTCATTAGTAAGTAATGGATTGCTCTATTGTAAGTTTTCCCCCATCAAGCTAATTTGGAATCTGTTAATTGTCTTACATTTCTTTTATGTGGCAAAATAAATGATACTCCTGTGTGAGAATTGACCTGATTATAATTATGCTTTCCATGAGTTAAAAGTATTGACTTCCTTTGACTTTCATGTTCACATCAATTTATTTATGACAGAATATTTTCAGAAATGAATTGAAATGGAATCCATCCTCTTCTTTACTTTGTTCCTTGAGCTTTTATAGGCCTAGCAACAGAGAAAAATATAAATCCAGTATTAAAGAAAAAAGATCCAAGTACTCTTTTAACTCTCTTCAACGATCAAACAAATCCTTTTCACTGTTCCTATTATAGTCCACTAGAAAATTTAGATAAAGCTTGTTTTTCTATCTTTTAAAAGGGGAATTATAAGATTTAGCCCTTGAATCCCACTAGAAAGTTTTGTTATTCTATAGTGAATTATTTTCACTAACGATTTTTCCTTTATTTGCTTCATTAATAGAGCTTAAACCCTGATTTCCTTCTGAAAATATGTTAGCAGCATTCACATAAAAGTATCAAATATTATGGGACTTTTGATATTAAAGAGGCTTTTGAGAAATACAATCTAACAAATAAATTTTATACATAAAAAAAACTAAGGCACAAAAACTTAAGTAACTTTCTTTAGCCCCCATCACTGAAATCACAGAATTGTAATTCTGGAATACTGCAGAGAGGAAGGTCTTGTCTCTTAACTAATTTGAGAAGCGTCTTGGACAGATGGCACTGTTATTATTTGGTAAATAATCTCTTTATGTATTTTCCTTTCTTGGTCCTGATAATTGTTTTTACTCCATCATTCAATTTACTAATTTTTTCTTTAGCTGTTTCTTACGGTCTTTCAGTTATCACAAGTTTCACTCTGAGAATGCTAATATTTCTGTCTTAAATGTTGAGTCTTCTTCTAGTTTTATCTTTCTTGTAGTTATCATCAAGCTTGTTGATGTTTTATAAACATTTCCTTAGACATAGTGTTTTTATTATCCACGTCTGTTACATAGAATAATTGAAGAAGCCTTTAATGATCTGTTTTTATTTACTCTTTATTTCTTCTGCAGTTCTCACGCACGGTGTCCCAGTGTTTTTTCCTTCATGTCTGATTATCATTGACTATGTGATAAACATGGAATGTGACATATTACCTATTACAATAATTTGAGACCTAGGTTGAAGTTTCTTTTCTTTTTTTTTTTTTCTTTTAGAATATATAGGCACTTGTTTCTGCCCAGAATAGGCAAACCAATTTCATAGTTTCAGATTTCCTAGATTGTCAAAGCAAAATTCTATGGGAGACAGATACTCTGTTTCTCAGTATGGTCCTCAAAGTATTATTCTTTAAGATTCCAGCACATTGTGGCAAAAACTTGGCTTGCTTTGTTTTTTTATTCACTACTTTCAGTTGTCTTGTGCTTTAAATCTGATGACCCTTACCAGTGGAAAGTTTAAATTT